CGTTGCACACGTAGGTGCAGGACGCTTTGGAGCTTTGCTTGCCTTGTCCCGTGTGCGCCATCTCTCCTCCTCGTTGCTCTTGGAAACGACCCTGTGGCCAGGAATGCCTCGGGTGTATTCTTGAGTCATCCCACTCCCGAGTTTAAGTTTTCATCACACAAACACACCCCCCTTTCCGCCCCCCCCCCCCCCCCCCCCCCCTCCCCGTCCCCCCTCCCCGCCCCCCCAAAGATGCGGAATCTATCCAAGAGCATCCACCCGAAATAGTTGCCCAGGTTCAGGATACCTCTCGAGGCGCTCGACAGGCGTGGGGTGCCATGGCTTAGAGGGTTGCGACGGCGGTGAGCTTCAAGGTGCTGCTGTGCAGAAGGGTTGCTTTCTGAGAGGTTGCGGGCCGGGACCTTCCCGGTGCCCATCCTGGGCCTCAGTGGACGTTCGGACCCTAGACTTCTGGAGCATCCGGGGATTCCGAGCATGGGATGTTGCGATATGTTGAGGTTCGGGGATGTTAGCCTGCTTGGGGCCGCACCCCACATAGCCAGCACAGACGGCTTTCCCAGCACCCGAATCAAGCCACAACGTCCCTGATAGGTTAGGATTATGTCCTCGAAGCTTGGTGAAATCTGTCTGAGTCAAAAACTATCAAAAACATAAAAAAGCTCCAGCTCATGTGCACGTGACTCAGGCCAGCCTTTGTTGCATGCATGGCTGCCGCTGTGTGGCCACCTTAGGTCTGGACTGTCGCGTAGCTCGAGCTCGTTGACCCCAAAACCCTGCACCTTTGATCTGTTCTTCCCAATTCTTTCAGCCAGAGATCTACGCATTCTGTCAGAAGCCTCAGCTCGCACTGCTTGTTCAGGCACAAAGGTCCCCCGTGGTGCAGCACAAGGCCTTGGTCAGGCGCAGGCAGAGTGGGGGAAGCATTCGCTGACAAACATCACGTCATGTGACGTAGTCCAGTGAAGACTGCCTAAGTCCAGGCAGAAGAGCATGAGCCTGGCTCATGATAGACAGTGGCCAATGCTTGCTGCAACAGTAGAAGAACTGAGCGACAATTGAAACTAAGCTTATCAGAGAGCCAGCAGTGCTTGCCAGATCGGTCACCTACTGCAGTGACTCGGCTTCTGGACGTACTCTTGCAGCTGCATGTAGCAGCTACTGCTGCAGTACCGCAGAGCTGTTTGAATGATTTAGAATGCAATAGAGTGGCACAAGATGGCACATTCTCGTCTATTTTGCTAAAATCATGACCAATTTTTAGTATCAAACCTGTGTGAACTCAACAGCTCCCACGAATCGTCCCGCCCTAGGCTCACAACCACCCCAGCAGCACGGCACCCGCACGCCAGCCTTGCACCCGGTGACCCATGGTTTCGGGAGCTTCTATAAGGGTTGTGATAGAATCGTGGTAGATACTCGCAAAAAAACAGTGGTGCCGTAAGAGAAGTGCTGGAACGAGGAGTGGTCGAGGGAACACGCTGGGGGTTGCGGTTGCCGCCTTTTTTCTTGACCACTGCTCTATCACACCGTTGTTAGCGCTGGCGCGCGGAGGTGGCATAGAGGAGGTATAGCAGATATTTCAATGCAGGATTATGGAAGGACAGCCTGATGGGGAACACGTCCGAATCTTGTCCTTGAGGCATCGGGCTCCTGCACCTGGGGGCACGGCACTTGGTGGTTGCTCTCCAAAAGTCTGATTCGGGGACGGGCTTGAGCTCATTTGAGCTCTTTCGGGCGCTTTGGAAAGTCCTGCATGGCGCCGAGGCCATGGCGCAGCGCGCGCCGACAGAGATCTTCGGGCCACAGAATCAGAAGTCCGGGCCCCAGAGTTATGGAGAGAATATGAGAGGATGTACCGCAACGTGCCTGTGGCGACGGCCTTCTGTCTGCCAAAAGTAGTGTTTGACATCGTTGACCCAGTGGCCACGAGCAACAGTTCTCAGCCAGTTGCGAGAGGAATGAGGCTGGAGGTCTGGATTTTTTTGTCTTTGCCAGATCCCAGGTATGGCTCAATGATGCGCTCGAACGACAAATGGTGCTTCCCTTGGATAGCAGCCGCCGTGTTCCTGCAGACTTGGATACAGGACAAAGCTTCAAGAATTGAAGCTCAACTCAATCAGCACAAACCTAGATTCAATCAAAGAAATACGAGTTAATCAGCCAGCATAAAGAGGAAAAACACTGGTCCGGTACAGAGAGAGAAAGAATGAAAGAAAGAGGAAATGTGTGTGCGGTGTTTTGGCAGACAGCTTTCTTTGATGAGAACCCGGGTACGCGACTTTTTCCGGTTTCACACCGACGAAGCTGAGAACTCAGGGCGCGCCCCTGCCCCCGGGGAGGGGGGCCATCCTCCTCAAAACCCAGCGCAAGAAGAGAGAACGAAAGAAATAAAGACAGAAAGAAAGAAAAAATGAAAAAAACAGAAAGAAGGAAACAAAACAAGATTGAACGAAATATGGAAATATCAAATTATTGAACTATTCCTAATTTGAAATATTGAAATATTGAAATATTGAAATATTGAAATATTGAAATATTGAAATATTGAAATATTGAAATATTGAAATATTGAAATATTGAAATATTGAAATATTGAAATATTGAAATATTGAAATATTGAAATATTGAAACCTTGAAATCTTGAAATCTTGAACTATTGAACTATTGAATTATGAAAATGTTGAAATACTGAAATGCTGAAAGAAGGAAGTGAGAACGAACGAAACGAAGAACGGTAAGAATTTGGTACAGACAAAAGAAAGAACTAACTAAAGAAGCAAATGGAAAAACAACGAAACGAGATAACCAAAGAAAGACAATGCAACCAGAAATAAGCAAAGAGCGAAGACAACGACATAAAATAGGAAACGAAGAAATAAATACAGACGTACATCAAGATAGAAATGCAAAGAGAACATCGCAAAACACAATGAAAAACGGAAAAGGAAAGAAGTAAAGACAGAAAGAAAGACAACCCGCACAAGCTTGCTTTGCAAAGAAGATCATGCCATGAAGAGGGCTTACATCTCGAACCATTCAATCCATCATGTGAGCATTGTATTGCATTGTGTTTGAAAACGGGGCAAGGCTGCTCACCAGCCCCCCACTTGTGGATTGATTTCAAGCCGTGCGAGCTTGATTTGTAAAAAAGGTCGTGCCATAAAAAGAGGACTTGCGTTTTAAGCATACGAGTCCTTTCCAAGCGAGCATCGCGCCCGCCTCCCCACCCCCACCCCCCCAACCACCCTGCTTAAGATTTCGTTTTCAGGCCGTGCAAGCTTGTGTTGGCTTGTGTTGCAAAGCAGATTGTGCCATGAAAAGGACTTGCAATAAGCTCGATAAGCTTGCCTCGTCAAGAACTAATGCAGGCAAGTGCATCATCACAGCGAGGGGTACGGAGCTCAGCTCTTCCATTCGCACGTGCATATGTGCCAAGAAGGATTATGGATGTGCATGGAGTCAGACGCTGACATGGTTTGTATCTTGACTGAAACTGAAGCCTTCGCGGCCTTTGTGTGCCTCTACGACGTTACGAAAATGGAGCTTGAGCCCCACCCCCCGGACCTGGGCCAAGGTCCGAGCAGCTGGTGATGACGATGCGCACGTCCACAGCGCCGGAAGTCCTAGCAACGCTCGTATATGCGACTTCTAATTCTGACACCTTCGGCGGGAAATTTGTAAGCCTGCATCATCTCCCAGCTCACAAAGCTTGGAGAAGAACTCTAATCTGCTAAACGGAAGCCTAAGGAGCCCAAAAACAGATCCAACCCCAAACAGAGGTTCCTGGGCTTTTCTGCTTATGCTCCAGATGGACGACAGTTGGCAAGTGCCACGCGCATCAGCCAGGGACTCGAATTCTCCACCTGTAGCTATCTCCCCATTTTTGTGCCGAAGTCCGCTGCTGTAAAGCCTCCGTGGACTCCCATACTACACACATCGCTTCTACTCTTCCCCGAGAACCCAAGTTTGTTTTGTTTAGATGGTCTTGCACATTGTTTTCTTGGGTTGGTGGTGCGGAGTGGTTAGGCGGGGAGGGGGATTGTAAGACGGAAAGACGGAGAGACAGAGGCAAAGCTTGCTATGAAGGACCTTCCGCCATCAGAAGGAGTTGATTTAAAACCCATCGTGTTCGGGGGGAGGGAGGTGGCCGCGCCAAAAAAGGAGTTGCTTCAAAATCCATTTCCCATATGAGCAAGGGTCAAAACTATGGTAATTGCGGTTTTTTCTTGGTAGGACATTTGCATGCTGAAGTGTCAAAAAGCCTTGTAAAGCGACGGGGAACACTGAAAAGAGACGCCCCTTATATAGTTTGAGTAGCTCGTAAGACAAACCCCTGTAAAGCGACGGGTTACAGCAACACCATGCAAAACTGTTGTAAAGCGACGGGGAACACTGAAAAGCGACGCCCCTAATGCGCGACCTAGATCAACAGGAGTTGCTTCAAAACTCGTGCTTTCAACATTGTCTTTGAGAATCTTTGCAAAGCCAGCTGCTCCCCCCCTCCCGAAGAGAAACAGGCTTAAAACCTCATGAGGTGTCTCAAACCAACGGAAGCCTCACCCAATCGGAGAGGCTGCTCACCAGCAATGTGGACCCGATTTCTCAGAATCCCAGACTCGGTCTAACTGGCGAACGGTGCCCTATGGTGCTCAGTGAAGTAGCAGCGCGCCTTGCAGTTTCAGCTGCCTGATCGCCTGGGTGGCAATGCGATATCCACAAGGGAAGTCCTTGAAGGAGAATGAGGCTCAGTATCAAGTCCGCGGAGATGTGTTCCATGACCGAAGACTTTGTCCAGTTAAGGCAGGCAAAGGAGAGGCTGCAACAGCTGAAGCCCATCGTCCAGTGTACACGGGATTCGGGAGACGGCGACACTGGCAATGGTCGCAGAATGTTCGCATAGTTCGCAAGGCAAACAAAGCCTAATCGCAGTGGTCAGCCGCACTTTCAGACTTTGGTTTGCTTGTCGTGAAACCCTGGGCTGCCCCGTGCCTGCTGCAGGCATGGCCGGTGGCCCCCATGCTGACACCCTGGCAATCAGCGGGGAACTCGGGGCAATGCCTGACGAGAGGCTTTCGTGCGTCGCGCAGGCTTCCACGATGTTCTACTCAATGGTGTCTATCTATATACATGTTCTAGATGTGTCGCTGCATATGTTGCATAAGTTGCTCTCATGGTTGAGCGATGTGAGTTGGGATTTGGGCTCCGTTCTTGGTCTGAATCTTGCTGATGAGTCCGGTTCTGGTTTGTTTTGCATGTCGGGCCATTGCCATGCTTGAGTACTGCTTGCTTAGCTCCTGAAAAACTTGGTGCTCATTTCCTGCATGTTCAACTGCTATGTGCGCAAGTTGAAGCCCAAATGGCACCGATCGAGCAACGGTGAGGTAACTGAGTTCCTTGCTGGATCACATCCTACCCTGCGAATCCAGGTGCAAGCCCCGGCACAGATGCGCAGCACTTAGCAGCACTTGGCACCTGTCAGTTTTTGGGTTCGGGATGCAAATCAAGTCGACGAATGTGATACATGTCAATCGCGGCGACTTGAGGCTCTCTTGGCTTTGCTGTGCATTCTTGCAGTGGTGCTGGCCTTACTGGGCTCTGGGACTTTGGCAGCCTGAGGGCAGTTCAGCCCAAGGTCTTGAGCATGATGGAGAAGGTGCCAGCTCCATCGGAGACCCCGGCCACAGAGCCCGCACCAGCGTACAACCTTCCACCAGGCTACGAGGACGTGGCTCAGCCCAGGCCCGAATCTCGAGCCTCGCTCGCAGAAGGCAGGCCGATCCCCAGCCGGCCAGAAGGGCCGAGAGTTGCTTTTGCAGGCAGTGCCCCGCACTCAACACGGAGCCTGCCAAGCCCCGGCCCCTGCCAGTCGGCACAAGGCGCCACTCCCCAGTCCACGCCGTCTCTGCCGGCGGCGGATGCGGCTTTCCTCTCCAGGTCCCAGGACCACGGGCCCCAACCGCGCGAGTTGCCATCGAACAGAGTTCACACAAGCCTCCCAATCTTTCCACCGCTGGCCACGAACCCTCAGCAGCCTCAGCCACAGGGGCCTCCCCAAGGGCCAGCTTATGGATAGATTAATAGAACGGATGAGTCTCACGCCCGCAGCTGAAAAAAGAGCAGCAGCCGACTTGACCCTGGTGATTTCCGATGCTTGCAGCAAGGGGCCTTGGGGGTCTGATTGGGTTCCAGAGCTGGATTTGGTGATTCCGATCAGGAGAGTCCCCAAACACGAAATAATTTTTTTCGATTCATTGAAATAGCAAATTCAGACTGATCCTCTTACCTGGTGCCAACTCTTTTGCTGACAGCATTTCAGAGGAGTCTTGGGCCACTGCAGCTTGTTTGGGGCCCGAGCTTGTTTCGCATCTTTTCCTGGTCGAGGGCAAGCGCCCACATTCCCCGGGTCCCGGACAGCATGGACGCAGCAAGGGTCTCAAAGCCTTACGGGCCTTACGGATCTTGAGCTGACGACGCCAGCTTCGCAACCTCACGGCGCTTGCACTATTTGTGCAGGTCATGGTGCATCGTGGTTGTTTTGACAAGTGGATCATGTTTGTGCTCCATGGCATGGCCACAGAACCCAAGTGCGACAGCTGGAGAGCCTGCCAGCTTAAACTCAAGCAGTCGATTTTCCAGATGCTGCTTTGTTGAGGCAATGTCTCCGCAGTTCTTGGCTTTCGCCAACCCTGCCGTGCCACGGATGGCCGTGCGCCCGGAAGGAACCACCCACAGGAACATTGTTGGGTGAAGCTAGGACCTAACCCAGGTGCCCAGACGAAAAAACCGCAATGCGCAATGTCGCGACAAACCCTGAAGGTGTGAAGTGTCGCTTGTGCTTCGTTGCTTCGATGTGCTTCGGTATCATTCGCTGCTTCTTGCCCCTGAAGCCTTGTTTAAGCAGGCATGAGTAGGCTGGCATGTGAAGTTTATAAAACGGAGCTGTGTGCCTGTCCATCGTTGGGCCTTGTTTCGTGACCTACGCATGATCATGCATGCTTCCTTTCCCGCAGAGATTTTTTTAGGGCTCAACGCCGGTTCGCTTGCATTGCAATGCGAATCAAGAATGCCGGACGAAAAGCCGTGTCGCTTGTCGTTCAGTGCCTTGCCGACATCGGGACATCTGCGAAGCTGGGGATTGTTGCCTGAGCTATGAGCTAGGCTAGGATCAGCTAGGCTGAAGCACAGGCATCTCAGTGTTGCAGTGCTGGAGTCGAGGCCTCACGCTATCTCGCACTTCTCATTGCCCAGGCATATCCTCCACCTACGATGACAGCCCCTTCGGCCTTCCGGAGAGCCCATGGACCTCTACACCAGGCAGCTTATCGAACGAGCCGCAATCGAAGACAGCAGCCTGGCTCTTCATGTTGGGAGCCTTTGCGTCCTGCGAATGTCTCGGTGCATGAGATGTGATCTTTCAAGAATATGCGGGTAGACTTCCTGTTCAACCAGAGTTGAAGACCGAAGTGCAGCAGTTCCGGAGAGAGAGGGAGAGAGAGAGAGAGAAAGAGTCAGGTCTTCCTCGTTCGTCATGGTGAGGCTGGGCGGCTGGGCTTGCTCTGATTCCGAGAGTTGGGTTTAAGAGGGTCCAAGATGCCTCAAGGTAAGGTTCAGCGAGAATAAATACATCATCTCTTCCCTGGCAGGCTTTGCACAATGTCGCAGAAAAGTCTGCCGTGCGTCTTGCTTGCAATGAACTCCAGGCTAGTGCCAGGGCGTGCCGTGACGAATGTTCAAGTTCCCCGTCCCCTCCTACGGCAGCCCTGTCCGGTCTCCCACCCTCCGAAGCCTTTCCCGAAAGTCTCGGTTTTTGTGTAACAGAATTGGCGCACGCGCGAATGCGCCGACGGGTCGGCGCATTAGCCATTTTCCTTGTAAATGCTTGCGCGCGCCGCCTCGGATGCCGGGCCGGCCCAGGGGGGAGGGGGAAAGAGGTGTGTTTTTGAGGCATCCCTCTGTATTGTAGAGCCGCCAGGCAAGACCCTCCACGATCGGTTTGCAGCTGTGCGATTGGGGGGTCCCACAGAGCCGGGGGGGGGGTGGGGGGTCTGTCACAAAAGTTGGGTAGGGGGGAAGGAGACCGGATCCAGGTCTGCTTGTTCTGGGCAGGAAGCCGAGGCGAATATCGGTGTGGGACTTTGTTGAGACTACATTCTCGGTCGCACCGAACTGTCTATTCTTGTCGAACATGGTGGAGCATCTTCAGTGACAAGGGGGCCTGCCCTACATATACAGTGACAACGAGACTTTTTCAGTCTAATCTTCCGAAGCAGCAGCACCATCGTCATCATTGCATCATCGTCATCATCGTCATCGTCATCATCATCATCATCATCATCATCATCGTCGTCGTCATCATCATCATCATCATCATCATCATCATCATCATCATCGCAACAACAACAACAACAACAACAGCAACAACAACGCTACTTATCCAAACGCGATCCGCAACTTCAAATCCGACCCCATCCGAGCTGAGGCAACAGGCACTTGCCGAGCAAGGCCAGATCAACGATAATGACCAGCACCAAGAGGCCATGGAGCCGCCCGGCTTGTATGGGCCCAGGATAAGCAAGCCGCACTTGAGTAGCCAGGGATGAGCCTTTCTGGGACGAGAATGTGGGCTTAGCCTTGCTTGTGTCGTGTCCTTTGGACACACACACACACACACACCACACATGCACACATGCACACGTGCACACATGCACACATGCACACATGCACACATGCACACATGCACACATGCACACATGCACACATGCACACATGCACACATGCACACATGCACACATGCACACATGCACACACACACACACACACCCATCAAATTTACCGACGTAGCATTCGAAAGCAGGCCTTGGCAAAAGAAAGCAAAACAACGTGAATTGTCGTTGCAGCGGGCAAGCAGTATATCGTCTAAGGACCGCCCGGAAATCTGCGTTGAGCGACGAAGGTTTGAAGGACGCTCCGTTCCTCAGCGATGGAAGGGTCCAGCCTCGAGCATGATCAGCTGCACATCTCGTGGTGGAATCCCCTCTAGGCTTAGGATATCTTGAGTAGTCCGTTACCTCATCTCGTATTGCCGAGGCTGTCCGCCAAAGGGCAGGAACAGGCCGTGGCCACCGCTGCCTGGGTCAAGATTCAGCATGTGTTTCGGGCTATCAGCTTGCCATGGCATGCTACGAGGCGGTACAGCCTCATCTTAGTATCTGCTATCCATCAGCACGGGCCGCATAGTCAAGCCATTTCACACCTCTGGTCGGTCCAAGGCCACATTGCAGTGTCTTTATCCGAGTGCCAGTAGGAGATGGACAAGAAAAAGCTTCGACATGCCCCGTAGTATGACAGGTTGCGCCGGGCATTGGCCGACAATATGCAATCAACGAGTCGAAACGTGAGTGGCATGATGCTTGGAACGTAAGGCGGCAACCATCATGAAGATGTTGCTCGACGATGCCGATTTAAAGCCGCCGGAAGCAATCTTCGTGTCGCCCTTGCAGCGCGCGCTCCAGACAGCAGCGGTAATGTGCCTGTGCTTGAAAGCTGACTTGCGGAACAAGTTTCGAGGTTGAAATGCCAGGGCTGTCCACATACATGTGCCTATGCGCTGCTCAGCACCTCAAGGTTCCCCACCCACAGCCGCGTCCACGTCCGCAATCTCCTTCGCGAGCGATGCACCGGTTTTCCCTGCGATGAGAGGCGCACTCTTCTGGATCGGATTTGAAGACCCCATGATCCCATGATGCCTGGAGTAGGGCCTGCCCCCGACTCAGAGCAGCCATTCAAAACAGGCTTGACAACCTCCAATTTGTTTGAGGCACTTTCTTTTGTTGATTCTTTGGCTGCACCTTCAACGCAGTTGAACTGCAGCCTGTCACTGTCTTCTTTTGCAATTGTGGAGTACGCCGTGGCAAGTTGTACTCGCTTTCAGGAGCGAGGGTGGACATCTGGCATCACGGAAGACCTTCAGCCACATGCACCCTGCTGCAATGAGCAGCGGCGAGTCTGTAGTGATGTCAATGTGTGCTATGCTAAGCTCTATGCTGAGTGCAATGCGAAGCACTATGCTATGCGCAATCTGTTTCTGTCGAGGGCCCGAGGCCAGTTGCGAGACTCACACTCGAGGTCCCGAACCGGCCTAACACGGACAACACAGCTAGACTTGGCTACCCAAGCCGGTCCTGGATGTACCGCAGAGTGATCAAAACACGGTTTTTCGAAACTCCCAAACCCATGATTCCTGGGCCAGCAGCCCCGAAATCCCGAAGCCGACCCAAGAAAAATCCCCGCCTTACAGATTTGGAATTTGCAGGGATTGTCTGGGGATACTCGGAGGTTGGGCGCTCCAGGCGCTTTTTGGGGCATTGTAGGGATTCTTTGGGGACGCTGTGGGGTTGGGCACCCCAGGGATTTTTTTTGGGGACTCGGGGGTTGGGTTGGGCACTACAGGGATTCTTTGGGGATTCTCTGGGGTTGAGCGCCCTGCTGAGCAAGGTGGGAAGCTAGGAAAACAACTGGAAGGAGTGTTCCACCAGAAGATGAGTATCACCTTGTGCATCAACAGAGGTTCGAGCCAGACTTGGTGCCTCGCCTGGCTTGTCCGAGTGGGAGCGACTAATATAGTGAAGAGGATTAGATGAAGCGGATTAGAATAAGTTTGAACTTGAAGGAGTTCGCAAAACCAAAGTGTTATTCGCAAAGTTTTTTTCATGAGCCACAAGCAGCGTACACCTTAATTAGATGTAATTAGTTTCTTTTTACAGAAGGATAGGTTACAAATTACAGGTCGACAGCAGTATGCCCCTTAGTTTTGTTGCAAGACTACCTTGCGCCCGTGGCATTTTGTAGGGAGGACAGGGGGGCGGGGGAGAGGGCAGGCTGTACAGGAAGGACTGGAAGGACTTAACTGAGTTTCGATTAAAGCCATTCAATGAGTTAGTTTGATTCATACAATCAATTTGTTTTGGTGTTTTAATTGGACTGAATTTAAATGATTAACTTCGAAAACCATCCTTGCTGATTTTAGTCTTTATTTCGTTTTGTTGACCTTAACTAAACTAGTTCCATCAGTTAAATTCATTGAATTGGCAAAATCGGGTTTTCGAAATCAATTCAGCAGATTAGAGTAATTTAAGCAGTTTATATGGTTCTGAAGGTCAACCAAATGTAGTTCGCAAAGGCGCATGCCTGCGACTTTTCCAACATGCGATTTCGTGCCAGTGCTGACTTTCCAGCCCTTCAGACTGAGACAGCATACTAGAAGGTTGCGCATCCCCCCCCCCCCCCCCCCCCCCCGATTTGAATGAGGAGCTTCGATGACGATCAGCAGGATGCGGACCTCATCTGTGATTTCGACAGTGACGAGGTGCAAGGGGATTCAGGTGCTTTGCTCCAGTAGGAGGATGTAGGAGGGTTGCTCGGGGCTTCGTATTCTTCATGCCGCGCCTTGCAGCACCTTGCGGCATCCCAAGATCAGAAATCCGTGCCCGGCAATTTCAACAAAGCCTTTGTAGCTGTGACTGCTGCGCCTGCCTTCTTCCATGACCGCCCGAGGTGAATGCACCCTTCCGCCGGTATAAAACCTGGCCTTTGGTCGAGGAGAAGCCGCTCGGTTCAGGTGGTGCGCTGAATCCTCTAATCTTCAGAGGTTAGGTTTGCTGAGACTGGCATGTAGAGCTTGCCAATCTCCGCCCACGGCCTACATTGCTCGCTTCTTTGTTTAGGCCGAACCTGGAATCTGAATCTGAACGTCATCATCCCAACCCATGAGGCCCTAGCAGCCCCAGCACAAGGGATGGAAAAGTCTGAGAAGGACCGAACCTACAGGTGACGACACTGCTTGCTTGGTGCAGTAAAGTCTGGTTTCGGCCCGCATGATAAGCACCTTCGATGCCTAGATTTTGACCGAGAGCGGTCTTGCTTTTGCGAACTGCCGGCCGGTTGACAGTTGAAGGGCGCCCCTTCATGATTTCTTCAGCCGGGCTGTCGCTGTAGAACGAGGCCCATGCTCCGGAAGCGGACGGCCGGACTCGGGTGCCTCGGAGTGGATTGAAACTACGCATGGATGCGTGCGCAGCAACAGACACGCACTTTACAGGTCGACAGTCCATGTTCGATCGTTCAAAACAACAGTGAGATGTGTAAACGGAAAAGGGCTGAACTGCGGCCTAGCTAGGGGTATCGAGTGTCTTTTCATGTCAGGTAGGCCTGGTGTATGGCGCGTATCCCTTGTCGACGTAATCGTGTTTAGTCAGCCGCATGCCAAGGATAAAATCCGGACCGTTGCTTGAGCAGCCAAGGAAACTGTTACAGGATGCGAGTGCCGAGAGTGTTTGCTTGGTCACTCACAAGGCCAGCGGCGAGGTTCGGTTTCTTCAGCTTCAAAGTTGCATACCCATGGCCCAGTTTGCTTGCTAAACCACCCAAGTAGAGGTGCGATCGGGTTTATGCAGCTTCTCAACGCTTCTTATGCTTTCCGTAAATCATCGTTGTCGACTCGATGGGCCCAAGAACCTTGCCTGCCTTGTGCGAGAGTGCCTCGCGGCCACTCACGCATGGCCGAGACAATTTGCAATTTTGTCCAGTGTCTTGGAAGTCCAGGCCCTCTCACCTTAAACCCGGTGGATTCGAAAGAAAAACCCGGTGGACTCTGAGAGGCCTTCCTTCGCGAGTTGGAGCGCGGGCCCTTCGGACGGCCGGCGGCCTCGGAGTTCAGCCGGCCAGAGAGGTTTGAGCATCCGTTTCTTTTTCCTTCTTTTGCTTTTTTAAGGTGGGGCAAGCAGTTGACAAACACATACCCTTGACTCCTGACCCTGGCTCGAGAATGAGTGCACTCGCCGTTGAACCCGAAGATTGAAGTCCGACGAGTTGAATCATGTTGGACATTTTCTTTCAGCATCATGTCATCTGGCCAGCAGCTCTGACAAAGGAAACTGCGAGGTGCGGGTTTACGATGTTCTCATCTCCGATGGCGCTGCTCGGAAATGAAGTGCTTTGTGAATATGCATTCAAGGGCGAGCCTCTGTTGACACACATGCATGGCATCCCTGCCTTAAACAGGATTGTAGGAGGGGGGGGGGTTAAAACGTTGCAACCATTTCGGCCCTCACTCGGGCCCTCACAGTTTTGGGGTTCTTACGAGGAGAGGGTGTACATTCTTGCAGTATCAAAGCGTCTCAACACCCCTAAACCTTAAGCCTTAAGGCCCAAAAACCCAGAGCTCCCAACCCCAAACTGACCACAGGCCAGCGAGTGCAGGTGTGGTAACCCTAGTGCTTCTGCGAGGTCCGGCCCGTCTCTCCCGAACATATCCTCCGCAACCCGGAGAAGGGCGCCCACCCGCAATCTGATTGCGGCCTCTCGCAATCATTTCTAGACCTGGCCTTCAGGCCCGAACACCCCGGCCCACCAGGCGCTACCGCCTGACACTCCGGAGTAAGCGGATCCCCTTCGTTTCTTCTTGTGGTGTGCGTGGCTGCTACAAAGAGACTTCGGAGAGCTGCTTCACAATCGGACCTTCCATGCCCAGCCAAATTGTCATGAGCAACACGAGGTGGTTCCTTGGACTACATTGCGTGCTGACAGACGCCGGAACACCCCAATGCCCTGCCGGAAGTTGATAGTGGCATCCATGTCGTACGGAACTTGGACGAAAGCAAGAAGGGCCTGTCCAAGCATGAGCTCGCCGCATGGCGATCGTCGCTAGCTGTCCAGGTGGCAGCTGCCCTGCTCCATGATGAAATCATACTCCGCGCGATGTCCTCATGGTCACGAGCTCGGTCTCATGATTGTCACGTCATTGCTCTCCGAGGGGGGCAATTGGTCACGAAGCCGGCACAGTGAGCCTGTGGCTAGCCCTTTCTGTTTCTCTTGGCTCCATAGGCTTGTCGTTGGGGTCTGGAACACTGTGAGAGATGGGGCCTTTCCACGAACTCTTGTTGCCAGCCTAGGCGGCATTTGGATTGGACACGGGATCGAGACCCCGTTCCGTGAGCTTTGTCTAAGGCTCGAGGAGCCTCCCTTGAAGTTCGCCAGGATCTCTTCATCCTCAGGCCCCTCTTCCAGTGCCTGCCAGGCCTCTCGGTTCCAAGTGGCGATCTCCTCCAGCTCGTCCTTGTTCCCGCCAGTGTGCCCCGCGAAGTTGTCGTACTCTTGCTGGTTGGTGGACTCGTCGACCCCGCAGTCCTCGCCAGAAGTTTCCGGGATGTAGGTACTCCTTGTCTTTCGCTTCTTCACCTCTGCATCCCGTTGAGCCAAGCTGGTTCTTGACCTGCGAACCAGGGCCCTGAGACGCATCTCACAGTCATTGATCTCCTCGCCATTCTTGCTGGAAGCCTCCTTCTTGAAGAGCTCATGAAAGGCGTCGCCCAACGAGTCCACCTTCGTCTTCCCCCGAGTTTTTTCAAGATGGTCCAACAAGTAGCTCCATCCATCCTTTGCCTTGATCTTTGTGGAGGTCGTCGTCCTTAGTCGCATCAACCCACAGCTCCACCCGCAAGTGGCAGTCACTTCGTCCATGAAGCTGCTCCAGTCCCCATTCCAGGAAGCGTACCTCTGCTCCATCTAAGCGGATCGCCCTCTGTGGCACAGAGATACTACCGACTTAGTTGCTGATGCTTGGCTGCGCTCTTTGAGAAAAGCGCGGCTAGCTGCTGACAGCTCTTGACAGTGATCTATGGCTGCTACGTACGATTTCGCATGGTAGCGAAATCTATGCTCCAGTGA